ATTAACTGTAAGCGCAAATAACCAAAACGGGAGGAGACATCAAGGGAGATTCATCAATGCCATTTATTAAGCTTTGAAGTCAATCAGTCAGGCATCGGAGAGGCTCATTTTGGGGGTAGAAAATGGCCAATGGTTACAAGAAGGGTCTGTGTTTTATAGGTTACAACAAGGGGGACTTAATCAATGGAGACTTCAGCAGAACATGGCACTCTGGGCAGTCAGGAAAGAAACACATTATGGCTGGGAAAGGATGATAAGTCTCCAGCTCAGCACTCATTGCTTATCTTCTTCCTCTCAGGTCCATTGTCACCGAGAAAAGATTAATATTTGCCTTCTTCCCAGGGATTGTCATTTTCCATATCTTTCATTATCTTTGAATTCTATGGTTGGTTCCTCAAAGTCTGCAGTCACCAGAGCATGCCTCAAAGTCTGCAGTTCCTATATTCTAAGAATGATGTCTGTGAGCCAGGTGTAGTGGCACATACTTGTATTCCCAGCAACTGGGGAAGCTGAGGCAGGAGGCTCAGGAGTTCAAAGCCAGCCTCAACAAAAGCAAGGCTATAAGCAACTCAGTGAGACCCAGTCTCTAAATAAAATATAAAATAGGGTTGGGGATGTGGCTCAGTGATTGAGTGCCCCTGAGTGCAATCCCTGTATACACACACACACACACACACACACACACACACACAGAGACAGAGAGAGAGAGAGAGAATAAATAAATAAAAAGAATGGTGGATGTGGTATTCACAGTCCTTCAGGATGAATAACTGCTTCTCTACCCAGTTTCGTTGCTAGAACATCCCTCAAACCTTCATACTTTAGCCAGAGTGATCTACATTTCATTCACAGAAATCAGTTTACTCTTTCCCCTGTGTCTTTGTACATAGTGTTGTTTTTGTCTGCATTGTCTTTTGCAATCATCTCTTCATTTGGCTAAATCTTTCAAAACCCAGATCAGGAATTACATTATCTTGGAAATCTCTAAGAAGCCCCTTCCTCCATGGCGACCTTTAACACTGACTTAGTTTAAATCTTCTCATGTGCTCTTCTGGAACACATGAGAGTGCCCACCTCTTCATGCCACTTACTCTAGAGTTTGCATCTCTTCCTGAAATTTTTTTGTGTGATTTGTTTTGTTTTGAAGACAAACTGAAACATGTAATATGTTACCTTAATTACATGTTTTCCCTCCACACTCATGCAGCCACCCTTGGAATTCTGAGGAAGAGGGTTCCCCATGGTCCTCTAGCAGCAGCAGAAACTGATGCTGGAAAGAGGCTTTGACCCACCACCAACAGGAGGCAGTAGTAAACAACCAACTTGGGACTCACTAATTGTTAGGATAATGAGGTTGGGGTAGAGGAAAGAGCAAAGGCAAAATCAGATAGGGGAAAGAAGAGTTAAAAGGCTAGAGAGACAAGGGAAGTTGTGACCTAAAGCAAAGAAGCTATCATCAGTTTACTGCCACCCTAGGTAACAAAGGTTCTAACCTAGGAGGATCCTGATTTTAGTACAATGTAAAGGGAAAAGAAATTTAAATTAGAATGAGGAATCAAAGAAGCCACTGCCAAGCAAGTTATCTTCAAAAGAACAGAACAGAGTAGATTCACCAGAGCATGCCTGGAGAGGTGGAGGAGGCTATAAATAGTTATAAGAAAAGATCAGGAAGTAGATACTTTCCTGAGGGTCTCACTTGATTGAGTTCTTTTTGATCCTCTCTTCCTTGGTCCTCTTCATAATTGAACAATTCTATATTCAAACATTCTATACATTTGTCAGTGAGTCTGAACAGAAGGTAAAATGCTTGCATATTGTGTGGGGGTGGGGGTGGGGGTGGGGCAAATCCTTTATCACCTCCAAGATGGAAATAGAAACAATTAGGAATTTCCCTGTGAGTCAGGGCAGTATTAGACACATCACCAGTGTTACACCTGCCTGTCACAATCCTCATTGCTTAAAGGCACTTCTATACTACCATGTAGAGAATATGATTAAATCTTCCCGTTACTGTCTGGATTCCTGCCTAGCTTCAAGGTAATTATTCTGAGCATTAGTTCTTATTGCACTTAAATGTTGATGGAGAACAAAGTACAAAGACAGGAACTGAATATATCATTGAATCTAGACCATATTCTAGAAATCAGCCAGTTAAACAATTCTTGATAGGATGTCATGTGAAAATCTACACCTCTTTTAAAATAAGATCATAGGTAATGAAAGATTCATTTTTCTTATTTTCCAAGAATAGATAATTGTTGATTTTTAGATTTTTCTAGTTAGGTCTTTTAAATTATTCAAATGATGGTCTGTATCTAATACTATGGAATAAAATGACAGGGGAAGGGGAAGAAGAAAAGGAAAAGAAAGTTCATTTGATTTGATTTATATTTAGTTACTATTTCTTCAGTGCTAGTGAAACAATGTTTTACATAAAAAGTAAAAATATTCAAATCTTGAAGAATACATTTTTTTCTTATAGAAACAATGATATATTTTCTAAAGCTTTCAAGTGAAAATTTCAAGTGTAAATAAGATGTAGAAATTAATATATGCAATGAAGATATTTTTATTTCTGTTAAACATTTCTACTACTCTGATTTTCCTTCTAGGCTGAGAATAGAAGACTTAGTCTGACAATAAAAAACAATCAAACATATGTTTAAGCAAGACATTAAAAAAAGAAACATTAGCCAGGCTCAGTGGTACATGCCTGTAATCCCAATGACTCAGGAGGTATAAACAGGATGATTGCCATTTCTGGGACAGCCTGGGCAATTTAGCAATCCCCTGTTTCAAAATTTGAAAATAAAAATAAAAAAGGGCCAGGATATAGCTCAGAGATACAATACCCTTGGGTTCGATCCCCACTACTGCAAAAATAAATAAATAAATACATTAAAAATGTTAGGGGTTATAGACATAGCCCGATTGTAAAATGCTTGCCTAACATATATAGAGCTCTGGCACCAGCACCAAAAAAGAAAAAAGAAGGGAGGGTAAAAATAAATGTTTGTAACTTTGTAAGTTAATAATAAAGGCCACCATTTATCAAGTAATTTGTTGTATTCTGGGAATACTGCCTAACTCTTTATGTATTTTCATTATTTAATCCTCTCAATTACCCTATGAGTAAGATAATTTTTACTTCCTATTTTTGATAAAATAGAAACTCAATGTTATTAAATAACTTGCTTACAGTCACAAAGCTAATAAGTTTATTTTATTCTTAAATCTATGTGCTCATATTACCCACAAAACTATATGTTCTACAAGGTAAGGAACTACTCTAGCCTGTCCTCCACTGGCACAAATTAGAAGTTCAATAAATATTAACAAACTTGTGTGTGCTTGTCATTGCTATAAATATTTTATAGTTCTTAAACTCTTTTTCTTATATAGTGTGAATTTAATAATTAGGAATAACAGGACCTAAAAGCTGAAAGGAGAACTGTACATTTGTAAACTCACATATTTTTGCAGGTAGTATTTTCAATTAAATTTAAATTACCAAGGTAAGCCAGGCCTGGTGGTGCATGCCAGCAATCCCAGATACTTAGGAAGGCTGAGGCAGGAAAATCACATGTTGGAGGCCAGGTTGGCAACTTAGCCAGACCCTGTCTCAAAATAAAAAATTCAAAGGGCTGGAATTCAGTTCAATGCTATAGTGTCCTAGGTTCAGTCTCCAGCATCACAAAAAAATCAATAAAGTGCCAATTTATTTTCATTGTCTACTTTCAAGGGCGACAAAAGCCCCTTCCCCATTTGTGCCACAGCTTCTAAAACTGACCTGATAATTTGACTGAGGTATTATCTTGAGGCATTAACTTTTTCTCCCTTAGCCTTCCTCCCCCTTCCCCTTCACATCACTGTCCCCAATTATTCCAGGGCTTGGTCTTGGGGCTCTGGCTCAGGAAAGCACATGGCAGGGCAAACAGCAGAGGTACCAGCAAAATCTTTCAGATTTTTACTCTTTCAATGTCCAGAGAACCATGGAACAGGAATTGACCATGAGGACAAAGATCTCTAGCTGCAGTCTGTAAGCGCTGAGGACTGATCTCTTATGCCCTCTTCCTCAGACTTTGTTAACTAGTAGACCCTTATTACTTGTGATAATCCAGGAGAGAGGGAAGGAATCCAGAAAGAGTTCCAACTAATTATTTTCCCACTAACCTGGCAGGGAAAAGGCCAATACAGATTAAGTTCATTATATTAAATAAGAAGAGTAATATTACTCTACACCCAGATAGGAGATTGAAATTCACACTCACTACATTGAAGATTTTCCTGTATTGCTCTTAATGGTCCGCCACACAGTTTTCGTTTTAAATCAACTTAACTGTTTACATTACTATTTAAATTTGTTTTAAAAGCATGTTCAAAAAAATTAGTAGAGGATCAAGAAATTACACAGTCCAACGCCATCACACTATTTGACAAATTATACAAAAAGCAAAACGCGACGAAGATAGTCGATCTCCAAAGTTCACAAAAAGAGAACCTGCTGGAATTCAAATAAACCGCACCACAGACAATCTACCACCTCTCCATGTGTAATGAAAAATCAAAGCTTGACTTTTTTTTTTTTTAACTTGTCATTGTATTTTTAGAAAGAGGAGGCAGAACCACTTTGCAATTACAATACTGCAGAGAAAATTCCCCGTACATTCTGGAATGATAGTCTGACAGTTTGGCTGGCGGCAGAACTACCGGCCGTGACAAGCTCTGGCACGTTGTATTTAGTTCGGCCCCCTCCGGCGTGAAGACCCTTTAGAAAATTCTCCAATGAGAGACGCTTAGGGGTAGGGGCGTGGCCTCAACAGGGCGGAGAATTCGAGTCTTTATAATAGGAAGTGTGCGCTGATTGGCCAAGCTTTTTTGCCTCTATGGACCAGCCCTCTTTGGACCACGGAGGCCATCCATCAAAAGAACCACACCAATCAGCGACAAAAATGCTTCCCCCGCGGGAAAGGCCCGCCCTCCAATATATCACTCCGGAGGCCAGGCGTGGCCCCTTCGGCTCGGAGCTGACCCTGAGGAGTGCAGAGGCGTCTCAGCTGCGCTGCTGAAACCACCACCCGCAGCTCCCCCTCCCCGGGCCTTTCCAGTCTGTCTCTGGAATCCCCTCCCCTTCGCGATCTCTCGGATTTGATATCCTGGGGCGAAGTGGGAGTTAGGCCCGGGGAGGGTGGTTACTGCTGAGGAGCCGCAGTCTCTGTCAAGGTGAGCTGAGTGGGGTTTCGGGTGACTCTCGGGCGGGTGAGAGCAAGGTGGAGGCACGCGCGGAGGGCTAAGTCTGGCCCGCGCCCTTGTCCTGAGAGTGTGTGCACAAGCCCAGGCTAGTCTGAGCCTGGAGGGGCGGAGCTGGCTCAGTGCTCCTGAGGTGTCAGTCCCAACGACCACTCCAGGAGCCTAAAGGTTGGACCCCTGAAGTTAGTGGTTCAACCCTAAGGTGTCCTGCCTTCCCATCGTTAAATTGATGTGAGGCTCTAGTTACCTTCCGCGTATCTAGACTTAACTGTTGCGGGGTCTTAGTTGTATTATGCACAGTTACAGTAATTCCCAGGTTCATCTCGCAGACTAGGTTACCGCACCCCGCCCCGCCAGCCTACTACGTGCCCCGCATAGCACCCTCTCCCCCCCATAATACTGATAAAAATCAACCATTACGTAGCACTGTGCTACACTCTTTAATCATCTTGTGTAATCGTTACAATCAGATATTGTTACCTTCATCTTAGATGTGGAAATGAGCTCATTATTGTTCAATGATTATTAAGCATCTACCTATGCGCTAAGCTCTAAACGATTTCATTTTAATCTGCACAGGTAGACTTGTGCAGGTAATAACCTTTTTCCCACTTTACATAAAAGTTAAGGAAAATTAACCAACATGAATGGTTCACATTGTCTTTACATAAAAGTTAAGGAAAATTAACCAACATGAATGGTTCACATTGTTAATACGAGGCACAATACATGCTACTGTTCGATCCCAAAGTTTTGGTATCCTGCCTTACAGTGTCTGTTCGTTTGTTATCCATTGTCAGTAAGCAACTTGCACAATATTTCTTGAAGACTTACATTTTTAAAAAATGTATAGTTCTTGTGTTCTAGAAACTCAGAATTTACAATGTGACCAATTTGTAGAAGGGGGCAGGGGGAATGTAACAGCGCTTTGCAATGATTTAGATTCCCTAGCTCCATTGAGAGAGGGAAGATATGTACTATAGAACACCTCTTTGCACAATGCAAAGATAGCCAAGGAAAGCAGAAAGAGCTACTCTTACTCCTAACTGGGATTTGTTCTATATATAGATGATAGAGGTACTGACAACAACTGACTCTCAGAAACTGCTACACCAGCTGAATACCCTGTTGGAACAGGAGTCTAGATGTCAGCCAAAGGTCTGTGGCTTGAGGCTAATTGAGTCTTCACACGATAATGGCCTCAGAATGACTGCAAGACTAAGGGACTTTGAAGTAAAAGATCTTCTTAGTCTAACTCAGTTCTTTGGCTTCGACACGGAGACATTTTCTCTAGCTGTGAATTTGCTGGATAGATTTCTGTCTAAAATGAAGGTATGTTTAAGCTATATTATCCTGAATATTTCTTAATTTTGTTCATTGTGTTAGAGATGTAATTGCTAGCTTCTGCCTCATACTCATAAACTTTTGTATATTCAGCAAATAACCAAAACACTATAGGAATTTTGTGCACTATTGTATTAGATGCTTCCTTATCATAATCAAGAATAATGTATCATTTATTAGTTATATTCTGAGATGGAAAATAGCCCAATATCAAATAATTGCAGAGTCTTCCAGATGGAAAATTGGATGTTTTTAAAAACTTGACAGGTTGAATATTTCCATGTATTTACAGTTTTTTTTGACAATAGGATTCATTTTTACATAATTATAAAAGCATGGACTATAATTTGTTCTCATTCAGTCCCCAGTATTTCCCCTTCACCTCCTCTTCTCCCCATCTGTTCCCTATTCTCTACTGGTCTTTCTGCTATTTATAGTTTTTTTTTTTTTTTTTTTTTTTTAATTAGTGTGTTGTGAATGTACATGATGGTGAGATTCACTGTAGTGTATTCATATATGTACATAGGAAAGTTAGGTCAGATTCATTCCACTATCTTTCCTTGTCCCACCCTCCTCCCTTCCCTTATTTCCCTTTGTCTACTCCAATGATCTTTCTTCTATTCTTTTTTTTTAAAAAATCTGCCCCCAACACACCCCCCCCCCTATTTTTTTTATTAGCTTCCACATATCAGAGAAAACATTCTGCCTTTGACTTTTGAGGACTGGCTTATTTCACATAGCAAGATAGTCTCCAGTTTCATTCATTTAACCTAGGTTGGCTCCATAGCTTGGCTAGTGTGAATAGTGCTACTGTATGCACAGTTGTTTTTTAAATTTAACGAAGTTTGTTAAAGGCAGAATGCTAGATTATGATTAAGAATGAGGATATATTTCTCTACTAATCATAACAAATTCTAATTGTTTTAACTATTTCAGTTTCAAGAAGTATCATTTTCCAGGAGTATGGGTATATAGTTATTTCTCTGTAAGACATCCGTGTAGCTTTCAAGCTTAAAAGCTTAACTGTTAAAAGTACAACTGCCTTCCCTGTACCCACAAGATCACTGGATAATGTCAAAATTAGAATGAAACTCACATTTTAGTCTTTAGTAGCTAACACAATGCATCATGTATAGAAAGAATCCGATATTTGTTGAATTGAATGGTTCAAAAACTTATTAAACAACTCTTTAGACACCATGTGTGGGCACTACCTTTGAATCTGTGTTTCACAAAATGAAGAGTATAGAGCTGTCCTTCAAATATAATAGTTTTATGTGGGAATGTTTCTACAGATAATCATCATAGGAGAAGTCATAATAAGAAAATTAATTATGTGTACATTTACTGTTAAAGGCTTATAAGAGAAAAATTTAAAAATTAAAATTGTTTTCAAAAATGTTCTAAGAGGAGAACAGAGATATTGATTAAAACCTTACAGTTTCACACTGTAGACATTTAGAAAATGACAAATACATAAAAAGGATTTGTTGTAGATTGAAATTTATAGGCAAAGTAAATGGTATGTGTTATAGTAGTATTTTAAAAATATTTTTGATTACTGCAAAAACAGTGTGGAAAAAAAAAATATAACATCCTGGAAGGAAAATTGTATATAAGCTATAACATGTTTGAGTACTTGTGTTAAGTCATTGACCAGTTAATTTAGTCAAATTAGAACACAGTGTTTGCTTGTAGTTCACAATGATTAAAAAAAAAAAAAGTCAGAATTTTGTTATGCTGAAGCCACACATTGTACTGAAAACTAGTTATATTGGTCAAAAAATAGTTCCAAGAGGGGTACGTAGTGTTGACAGGCTACATTTTAGGTATAATGACTCATAATGATGAGTCTGAGTTCTATATTATCCTTTATTCTATATTAATTGAAATATGATAGACACATCGGCTTGGTTTTTCTTTTTAGGTACAGCCCAAGCACCTTGGGTGTGTTGGACTGAGCTGCTTTTATTTGGCTGTAAAATCAGTAGAAGAAGAAAGGAATGTCCCATTGGCAACTGACTTGATCCGCATAAGTCAATATAGATTCACGGTTTCAGACCTGATGAGAATGGAAAAGATTGTACTGGAGAAGGTGTGTTGGAAAGTTAAAGCTACTACTGCCTTTCAATTTCTGCAACTCTATTACTCACTCATTCAAGAGAACTTGCCATTTGAAAGGTATGTGCCCTTTGTTTTGAACAAATGAACTTTAGAAATTTGAATGATATTGTCTATATATTGCATAAAATCAATATTTGTAACAGTGCAGCACCTAATTCAAATTTATAGGAAAAGAACATTCAATAGGTATAGAAATAGATTAAAATGAAAATAAATCTTGATATTTGTGGCAAGATTCTGTTCATTTTATTTATTTTTGGCTCAAATCATTTAAAACTCAGGTTAAGAACTTAATGTCTCTGATTAAAAGGGAAATTTCTATTACTTCAAATGACTTCCTATGATAAATGTGCGTGTTGTTTTTAAAAACAGATTTCAATATTTTTTTAAAAATTGTTCCTGACTAGATATAATAAAATCACTTCCATTTTCTTTTTAAAGGAGAAATAGCCTTAATTTTGAAAGACTGGAAGCTCAACTTAAGGCATGTCATTGCAGGATCATATTTTCTAAAGCAAAGGTAAATATTTTATAAAGAATAAACATTTATGTAGATCTGTTTTTATATTTGACATTTACATTATATTTATTTCTTTTCAGCCTTCTGTGTTGGCTTTGTCTATCATAGCTTTGGAGATTCAAGCACAGAACTGTGTAGAGTTAACAGAAGGAGTAGAATGTCTTCAGAAACATTCCAAGGTGTGTCAAGGTCATAGCTTAAATCCTATTAACAACTGTGAAAGAAACTTGACCACTTGTACTATCTCCTGAAATAAAATGAAAGGTCATATGTTTATTTGAAACTTAAGTAGCTAGCCTTGAATCTTTTTTGACCAGGAAAGACACACGTTAGTAGGCTGTATTTGTTACTGTAGTTAAATACAAGACTTTATTTTAATTCATTAATAACTTTTAAAATTTTATGTGCAGATACATGGCAGAGATTTGACCTTCTGGCAGGAGCTTGTATCCAAGTGTTTAACTGAATATTCATCAAACAAGTGTTCCAAACCAAATGTTCAGAAGTTGAAATGGATTGTTTCTGGACGTACTGCACGGCAACTGAAGCATAGTTACTATAAAATAACTCACCTTCCAACAATTCCTGAAACGGTTCCTTAACTGGCAAATATGGTTGTTATTCTTCATATAGAGAAATTTTTCCAATGACATAATTTTCTTCTACAATTGAAAAATTGCAATATTATTTTCAAAATAAGCAAAATGGAGTTGGAATAGCAGAGGGAAAAATGACACTGATCTAGTCAGCTAATATTTGAAGGCATTTACTACACATAAGGTGCAACACCCTTAGAGAAAGGAATTATCCAACCTCTGTTTGTTTCACTTAATGACCATTTAAATTATCAGCTTAGAAAACATCCTCAATGATAGATAGTCCAAATTTGTAAAGTAGCACTGAAATAGGACCTCACCCCAGTCATCTTGCAGTATGCATAACCTAAGCTTTAGCTCATTTAAAGTTATACAAGCCTAAGTAGGATAAGAGGACCAAAAATATCCATTAAAACAAAACAAACAACAAACAAAAAACCAATTTGGCCCATATTTTTTAAAAATCATACTTAAAGAAAGAGTAATATAAGGAGATGATCTCTGCACTAGGAAATTGCCAGTGTATCATTGTTATAGCAGTTGAACTACTAGGAAGTAATTAGATGATAAAAAATGTAAACTTGGCCATTGCATATGTTATATATTCTTGTCATCTAAATTTCTTAACTCACAGTAATGATTTATCTTTTTGCTCTTAAAACGAAATGTTAATATTTAACATCTACATATGATTATGAATCTGAGAATAATGAACAGTTAACTTGTAGTAATAATTAGGCAGACTTCTGCTAAGTTGGGATTTTTTTTGTTTTGTTTTGGTTGTTGTTTACTTAAGGTCTATTTCTGTAGCAATAAAAAACCTCTTCTCTTGAGGCCTTTTCTCCAGAACCCTGAGATGTGGATTCCATAATGTTATAATGAATTTAAGCTATAAAGCCTAGCAGAATGTTCTCGGACTTAAAAAAACTGTCTAATAGTATGATGTAGTAAAATAATGTTTAGATTAAATTCACCTGTGAAGCATTCAAATGAAGCTAAAGGCATAAATGTGAAACAGTGATTATAAGCATGGGAAGGTAAACTGTGAATCTTCATTTCCTACATTGATCAATATGTTGTATTTAGGTGGTACTGAAATGGTAACCTACTTAAGTGTTAAATTATCAGATTTACATCAAAAATGAACATTTCACAAAAGCACTTTAAGGCAAGATAAGGGTTAATAGTCTAGGCAATGTAAATGATTTCTTGGCACCTATAATTCAAGTAATAGATAATTCAGAGATGAGGGTTCAATGCTATATGAGAATTACATTTAAATTTGAGGGCATTTTATATAAAGCAAAAACTATAGACCGAGTAAATTTGGCGTAATCATTATCTTTAATATTTCTTCTAGAAACACGTGATGTTTGTATTCATGATAAAAAAAATTTTACATAGAATTTACTGCCTCATTAAGAAAATGTTTCTATTATATTAGTAACTCAAAATAAATTAATACTTCGAAAACTTGCTTTACCCTGTTAAATTTAGGCCAGATAAAGCACTCCCCAAAGTTTTTACTACAGACAACTGCCATTGCTTCTAATGTAAAATTTTGTTTAACCCATTATGTCCCATCATTCTATATACAGGGCACCTATAAAAACCTATAGAATTTTATAGGAGCCCTATAAAACTCCTTCATTTTTATAGGTGTCCTGTATATAGGATGGGATATAATGGGTTAAAAGGAAGAGAATATACTTTCACAAATGCCCCTATTGTGTCTTATGTAGGCAACTTCTAATTATGAGATCTCTGAGGTAGTGTTCACTATTCTCCAGATCAGCGTGTGAATATAAGGAGACATACCATGTTAAAGTGTTGTAAGCAATGATTCAGTGTAGTGTGTAGCCTGAGTCTATCCAGAAAGGCTGTAACCAATTTTGACAATGTTATGGATATATAAGCACTGAAAAATAAACCAAAGAACCACAGTTTATTTTATCCTTAACTTTTGTAAGGTGTGTCAAGGATAACTTTTCAGTTTTCCCAAAAGATTGATATTTCAATATTTTGAAAACATCAGTGTTAATTTTGAGTTGGCAGATGTAACCTAACAAACTACCATTATGTTTGGTACTAAGGAATATACCTTTCAATAAAATTACTGAAATGCAATCCTTTGCTGGGTGGTTTTGTTCCTTTTCTGATTATTTTAGCATAGTAATGAAATAATAAAAATGATAAAGATTTGTCTCTATTTAGTATATTGAAATTTTTTACTAAAGATACATGGAAGCAGAAATTAAAATCTCTTTTAATGTACAGCCATTACCTAATTGACACTTCGTAATATTTTGATACAACAAGTTAATGTTTAATATGCATTAAAAAGATGTTTGTGCAATATTAATCACTTTTGTCGTTTAGATTCATCACTGCTATGGATGTAGATTCCACCCACCTGAAGCTTTTTTGTTTTGAGAAAAAAGAAAAAGGTTTATTGCTTTGCAGGCAACATGGGACTCCTGTCCCGAAGACTGTGATTCCCCCAACCTCTCAACCTAATTAACTAGCATTCCAGCAGCAAAGTGACTAATTATGTTAATCCTGGTTGGATCGGTTGGTGATTATTGTTCAATAGAAACAATATATGATCTCAAATTATTAATATTTAACTACAACTAATAAGATATCTTATAATGTGGACATTGCCAGGAATTACTGATCAAAGAAAAAACTCTTTTGCACTTGACTCCTATTAGACATTTAAAAAACCTTTAATAGTGTTATTTTTTAAAAAGTTACCTGATTGTTTTTCTAATTATGAAACATGCTGTTTAAATTGAGATATACTACACACTACTATCCTTAGAGCTATTTCTGTGCTAACTTTTTTTTATAAAGTCATTTTTATTTATTCTTTTATTTTGTAGTGCTGGGGATTGAACCCAGGGCTTTGTGCATGCTAGGCAAGTGTTCTACCACTGAGCTACATTCCCAACCCTTAACTAATATTTTAAAGCTGGCAATGGCAGCTTTTGCTGTCAGGTACTATTACTAGATGTTTTATATGAATCATCATGTGTAATTCTCTAAAGTGAGTGAGGCCATCCAAATTTACAAATGAAGTAGAAGCACAGAGAAGCTAAATGATTTGCCTATGGTCACTTACTTGGTACTTGGAGGGGGAATTCAAATCCAGGCAGTTCTGACTCCAGAGGCCATGTTCTTACCATACTCTTACCTCTTACATTACCTTGTAATATAGATTAATTGTAAATAGAGGATTCATTGGACTCATGTGAAACTGTAATTTCTAAACAAAACTAATTCTAGCCACATTAACTTCAGTGTTGTTATGATCATGACAATAATAATAGAGAATTTTACAGTAATTAATTTTTGTAAGATGTCATTGCTTATACATTGCCAAATTGTGACACAATTTTACATAAGCCAAAACAGTAAACAAAATAAATTGAACTAGAAGATAAAACAATTTTTATGTCAATTCAACAAAGTATACTGAGGAGCAACCAAAATTACTAAGGATAAAGGACGTACAATGATAAAGCAATTGACTGACTAAAATGAAAATCCTAAATTTGTAGACACAGAGTATCACAACTTAAAAATACATCAATCAAACTGACAACACTGAAAAGTGAAATGGTCAAATCACAGTTAGGGAATTAAAACATTCCTGTCAGTAATATATAGAATTATTGGAAAATTAGCAAAAATGTAGAACTGAATAAAACCACCAACCAAATCTGACTTAAACCATCTTAAAAATGCTTCCTAAGCATTATTTTCAAGCACATGTAAATAGTCACACCAAGGAAGACCCTTTCATGGATCTTAAAAAGAATCATAACAAATTTAAAAGATCTTAAATAAAATGTTTTCTGAACATAAAATAGAAATCAATAGGGAAATCTGCAAGTGCTTGGAAATTAAAGATTAATGATTCATGGCTCTAAAAGGAAGCCTTAAAAAGGAATCTGAAAATAATTTAAACAGTGTAAATGAAAATAACACTGTGGAGTGCAACTAAACCAATACTCGGCAAATTACAGCATCAACTGCTTTTATTGAATAGGAAAAAGGGTCTAAATCAATAAGCTTTAACTTTAAGTAAAAAATAAAACCCAAAACAAGCAAAAGGAAGAAAAAAAACAGAAAGGAATTGATGAAATTCAACACCATCACCAGAAAAAATTAACAAAATTAAAAAGCAGTTATTTGAAAAGAGTAAAAACGCTGGGGCAGTGGCACTTGCACTTGCCTATGATCCCAGCAATTTGGGAGACTGAAGGTTTACAATTTCCAGGCCAGCCTCAGTAACTTAATGAGAACTTGTCTCAAAAAATAAAAAAGGCTATAGTTCATACCGGTTGAATCCCCAGTACTAAAAATGAAAAGAAGAATAAAACTGATAAACAAGCAAGATTGACAAAAGAATTATGGATATTAGGAATGAAGCCAATATAACACTACAAACCTTAAAGACATTAAAAGAACACAAAGAAATATGAACAAATACAATCACAGTAAAATGAACCAATTCTTTATTTTTTTGTTTTGTACTAGGTATTGAAGCCAGGGATGCTCTACCACTGAGCTACAGCCCCAGCCCCTTTTGTTTATTTAAGTTGCAGAGGTTGGCCTTGAATTTGCAATTCTCTTGCCTCAGCATCTGGAGATGTTGGGACTACAGGTACGTACCACTGTGCCAGGCTTAAACCAATTCCTTGAAAGACAAGAAGTACTAAAACAACCAAAATGAACTGGATAGCTTAAATAAATTATATAATTATTTTTTAAAAATAAATGCTTATTTAAAATCTTTCTGGCAAATTCATAAAGGATTAAGATTCTACAGTGTCTCTTTCAGAAAATTAAATCTAGATGGATCAACTGAACAATATCCATGACCAAGTCTGGGGTGGGGGGTGCGGAGATAAACAATTTCAAAATTTGAAAATCAATATAAAGCCACCATATTAACGTTCTAAACAGGGTAAAAACATTTGATCAAAGCAAACTCATTTGAGAAAATTCAACATACTCTGATAATAAGCTCAGCTAACTAGAAATCAATAGATGGGAACCTCCTCAATCTGATGAAATTATGTATGAAAAAACTACAGCTAATTGGACACAGTGGCTCCTGTCTATAATCCCAGCAACCCAGGAGGGTGAGGAAGATTGAAGTTAGAAGCTAGCCTCAGCAACTTAGTGAGGCACTGTCTTAAAATTAAAAAATAATAATAATATAAAGCTGTAAATGTATAGATAGAATTGGAAAGGTAGCTCAGTGGTAGAGTACCGCTCCCCTCACTCTGCCCACCACCCCACTGCTGGTTTAATCCCCAGTAACAAACAGAACAAAATAAATGTACAGCTAATATCCTACTTAATGATGAAAAGCTATGCTTTCAAAACCCTAAAGAACAGATAAGATCACTTCTTCCACTTTATTGTTCTAGCTGGTGCACCAGGCAGGAAAAAGTAATAAAAGGTATATAGACTAAACATGATAAAATACAACTTCCTATTTATGGTTTATGTAGAAAACTCAAGGAAGGGATCAATAACAATAAGAACAAAAAACTCCTAGAACTAATCATTGAGTGTAGTAAAGTAACAGACTATAAGTCAACAAACAAAACTCTAACATATTTGTTGTAGATGCTAGTAATATACAAATGAAAACCCAAATTTCAAAAACATTTACAGTATCTCCTCCCTGAAAATGAACACTTAGGAATAAATCTAATAAAATAGATAAACTACTAAGAACACAAAATGCTGAAGACTGAAATCAAAAAGGAGCTAAATGGAGAGATACTTAATGTTCTTAGATTGAAAGACTTAGGCAATTCCATTCAAAACCCCATCAGGAATCAGGAGACTAAGGCTGGAGGATCAAAAGTTCCAAGTCAGTCTAGCAACTGAGCAAAACCTTGTCTCAAAATAAAAAGGGCTAGGGATGTGCCTCAGTGAAAGAGCTCCATGGATTTAATTCCCAGTACTGCCAAAAAAAAAGCTACAAGGATTTTTTCATAGATGTTGCCTGGCTGATTCTAAACTTTATATAGAAAGATAAGGAAATAAAATAGCCAAAACAATTCTGAAAAGGAATAAAGTTGAAGGAATCATGCTAACCAATTGCAATATAAAGCTATAATAATCCAGGTAGTATGGTATTTTTAAAGGATCTACACACAGTTCAATGGAAAAGAGCATACAAAAACACATAAATATATAACAACTGATTTTTGAACAAAGGTGCAAAGAGAATTCACTGGGGAATGGATAGTCTTTTCAACAAATCATTTTGAAATAAATGAACAGCCACATACAAAAAAATCACCTCCACCTAAACTTCATACCTTACACAAAGTTAACTTAAAACAGGCCACTGATTTAAATGTAAAACATAAAATCATAAAACTTTAGGACAAAAACAAAGGAAAGAATCCTTATGATTGGGTTTAAGGAAAGCATTCTGAGATATGGTACCAAAAGCATGATCTACTAACATGATGATTAGACTTCATCAAAATTAAAAACTTCACTGCTTCAAAAGGTACCATCATGAAAGTGAAAAATAACCCACAGGACAATTTACAAATCATATACCAGATATTTGAGGTAATATATAAAGAACTTTAAATAATATGACAATCCAATTTGAAAATGGGCAAAGGGCCGGGTGTGGTGGTACATACTTGTAATCCCAGCAGTTCAGCTAAGGCAGGAGGAATGCAAGTTCAAAGCCAGCCTAACAACTTAGCAAGGCCCTGTCTCAAAATTTAAAAATAAAATAAAAAGGGGGCTGTGGTTCAGTGGTTAAGCACTCCTGGGTTCAATCGTTGGTATCAAAAAAAAAAAAGAAAAGAAAAAGAAAATGGGGCAAAGGATTTGAAAAAAAAACATTTCTCCAGGGGAAGATACACAAATGTTCAATAAGCACAAGACTGACATAGGCTTTAGGGAAATGCAAATCAGAGATACCACAAAGAACTATCACTCTATATCCACCAGAATAACTAGATTCCAAGAGTCAGGTAAGTATTGGCAAGAATGTGAAGAAACTGGAATTCTGGTACACCACTGGTGGGAATAAATGATGTAACTGCTTTGGAAAACAATCTGATGGTTCCTCAAATTATTAAACATAACCTGAAAATTCTATTCCATATAAAACACATATGCACATAAAAATCTCTACACAGATGTTTATAGCAGCAATATAAAGCATAGATAAAAGATGGAAAACCCCCAAACACCCATCAATTTACAAATGAATTAACAAAGTATGATAGAGCCATGCAATGGAACATTCAGACATAAAAATGAAATACTGATATATGCTAGAACACAGATGAACCTCTAAAACGCTGTTGTAAAATAATCCAGTAACCAAAATCCACATATTATTTGATCCCAAGTATATGAAATGTTTAGAACAGGGAAATCTATGCAACAGAAAATAAATTAGTGGTTGCTTGGCTGGTGAGGCAGGAAGAGATGACTGTTAAAGTGTACAAGGTTTTGGGGGGCTGAGATTGTGGCTCAGTGGCAGAGCGCTTGCCTAGCACATGTGAGGCACTGGGTTCAATTCTTAGCACCACATATAAATAAATAAAATAAAGGCCCATCAACAACTAAATTTTTTTTTAAAAAAAGTGTACAAGGATTTTATTTCAAATGACAATATTCTAAAATTGACTATGGTAATGGCTATATATACTATGCATATTGAGTTATATACTTTCGTTGAAATGTATGTGAATTATGTCAATAAAAGCTATTTTTTAAAAATTAAGTGATCCCATTTATAATTTAAATACATACCTTTTTTGATACTGGGGATTGAACCCAGGAGTGCCTTACCACTGAGCTATATTCCCATCCCTTTTTATTTTGAAACAAGAGTCATGCTAAGTTGCTGAGACTGACCTAAAACTTGTGTTCTTCCTGCCTCAGCCTCCCAAGTTGCTGGGATTACAGGCATGCACTACTATGCCCGGCTATATTATATATTCTTGAGAAGACAAAAATGTATAGATCAGTGGTTTACAAAGTTTAGAGATTGGGAGGTATGGGGTGACTACAAAGATAGCATAGGGGTATTTTTAGTGATTGAACTGTTTTAGGGTGATTATGAAGTTGTTCACATGTATCTATACATGTGCTAAATTTCACTGAATTATACCCCAGAAAGTTAAAATTTTCCTGTAAAACTGAATGCCAAAAAGAAACCAATTAAAAGAACAACTCATTCCTGAAATTACTAGGTAAAATGAACAAAGTAGGCATCAGAGGAGGACAGGCTACAGTGATCCAGAGTTAAGTATTGGGGTTCAGAGATGATGAGGAGGATCTCCCTGTGAGATGACCTATGACAGGTAGTCAAATAGATTAAGTATAATAGGAATGAGACTTCTTACAGCTATGGGAGTTATAAAGATATAAAGAGATAAAAGTAAAATGAACCTGATGAGATTTGGATTCAAAGTTTAGGTGTGAAGTCATATGGTTTTACATATAATTTTATATATAGATACACACACAGATGTACTACACATATTATACACAAACTAACAGTAATTACTTACACACAGATCATAGTTTTGCGTATGTGGTGCTGGGGACTGAACTCAGGTCTTTGAACATGCTAGGCAAGTGCTCTACTAATGAGCTATACCCCCAGCTTCTTAAAAATACCCTTATTCACTAAAGAGAACAAAAGGGTTCCTTGGAAAAATGGCTGATTCTTGGACTGGGGCAGGGAATGTGTAATTAGCCTGGTGTATATTAGATCAGAGTAAGAAATCACTCAAATAATCATGGGAATATGTTAAAAGGACAACAGAAGTCACCTAGCATGTGTCTTTTACTGGCAAATAATTTAATTTTATGAATTTAAAACATCAAAGTAATAAAAATAATAGATTTTAACCCACCAAGTAAGACATTGATTCTACAGATATAAATTTTGACTAGAAACATGGCAGTACTTTTAAATTACCTTCTCCCAAAATAATTAATCTTAAAAGGAGGTACTTTATAGTGAAGTATGGCAGCCACTATCTTATTCAGTGATCTAAGTAACACTATCTTAAGTAGGACAAATTGAAATCATTAATCTATGATAGGATAAAATAAGATCACTTCTATAACATTCTTGACAATAATTCACAACTTGAATTTCATCATGAAAAAATATCAGAGACACTGGGGATGTACCTCAGTGCTAGAGTATTTGCCTAGCATGTTTTAAGGCCATGGGTTTGATCTCCAACATCACAAATAAATAATTAAATAAACAAAAGGAATATCACATAAAGCTAGAATGTAATCTTTGAAAATGCCAAAGTTTTTAAAGCCAATGGGGGTTAAAAACAAAACACAAAAATAACTTGTTCCAGACTGACATCTACAGGCAGGTCATCATTGTGAAAGAGTTTTCTTGTTATGACAGACATTATTGGGACTATCAGTTCACTGTGATTAGAGGGAATATCTGAGGAACAGATGGTAGTAATATGTCACCATAAATTTCCTAATTTTAATGGTTAGGTTATAGTTATGAAAGTGAATGTCCTTTTCTGCAGCAAATACACACTAAAGTACTAAAGTGAATCATCTCTTAAATTTATTTACAAATGGCTCAGGAAGAAAGAAATTTTGTGTACTTTACTTTGTAACTTTGCTATACATTTGAGATTCCTTAAAAAAAAAATTAAAAAGGATACAGGATGAAATGAAATCTCGACAATTCCTATATATAGCCAGGGGCAGTGGTGCACACCTGTAAATACCAGCAATTCAAGAAGTTGAGGCAGGAGGATCAAAGGTTTGAGGCTGCCTGGGCAAATTAGTGAAATCTTGTGTCTTATGGAGTAAACAATGGACTGTGGATGTAGCTCAGCAGAACACACCCCTGTGTTAAATTCCCATTACCAGAAACAAGAAACGACAAAAATCCCTGTCTATATTTCTGAATCACTAAGAGAAAAATAATGCCTCTGCTTTACAGTGACCTAAATTTGCATTCTGCTACTACAAACGACATGCCCAATAACCGTATTCACTTAGCTGCTTCTCTGTTGTATTATTACTTCTCATTTGTATTAATTATTAGTTTTTTTAACTTTTTCAATTTCTTGACATAAAGTAATCCCTTAAGAAATAATATCATAATTAAGAAATTTACATTAACTCTTTTAATATTGTTACCCCAAATACTTTTGTGGAATTTTTGTTAATTTTTTTTTTTTTAATACTTATGTGAATTAATGTACTTAGATGAAGGGGCATACGATCCTCTTTCTGAAAAAGTTTATTGAACTTTATTCCTGCATCACACTTATCAAAAGAAAAACTTAATTTTCTCTGAAGGCACCCTTTCATTTAATATGATCTGTACCCCAATGTTTTTTATAGTAAAAATGCATTTAAATATGAAACTGGTAAAATGTAGCGTATAAAACTCCATGCTGAGCAAAAATAAGTCCAAAAAAATTACCATATGTTCACAGACAGTTCCCACTGTACGTTTCCTATGTAAATCATATTTGAATGCAATTTTTAGAACCATATTTAAATGTATTTTGCAATTTAACTGCAAGCATCCATATTTTTCTTCTAGCACATAATCTGTTCCTTTAAGTTGGCAACATCAGCTAGGATCCACAGAATGTAGCAAAAAAAAGAAAAGCAGTTATTTCTCAAGGTTTGAGAAATCTGGTCCACCTTTACTGTAGTTTCCTGAGATTTCTGCTCCACTGAAGTCAAAACCAGGATTCTAAAAGACATGAAAAAAATGTATGATATAAAACTTAAACTAGGAAAAAGGTAAGTATGAACTAGTAATTGATTAAAAAAAGGAGATCTAAATGGACAAAAACTGAAAAGATACCAAACCTCGCTGTAATCACCAAAATAAAATTTAAAACAATGAAGTATTTTTCAAGTTTACAATTTATAGATATTTAGATTGATATGTATAGTACTGCATTGACAAGCTTATAGAGAAACATATTTAAATATCAATACATAAACCGATTTTAAAAGCTATCTTGAAAGCTTACTGTATTGCCATGCAGGGTTCTGTAAATATATATCAACACATTTAACTCTCACAGCAATTCTATAAAATACATACTACCTCAGGCTTTCATCTTTTCATTGGGCAATTTCATTTATTTAACAAATTTACTGAATTACTACTGTTTGAAAGACACCATTAAAGGCATGTGAAGTTCAAGAGTGAACAAAGATTCCTGCTCCAGTGGCGTGTCCATTGTAGAAGAGACCAATAAACCATGTATTATTGAATGCAAGGGTTGGCAAACTTTTAAGTAGTCATATGGTAAATATTTCAGGCTTTGCAGACAACACAAGTATACACAAATATACAACTTTCACAAGTACACAACTATATGAAATTGCTGCATGCAAGATAATACAAAAACAAATGAGCATGATGTATAGTAGTAACTTTACTTAAAAACTAGGCATTGGGCTGAATTTGGCCCACAAGCCACAGTTTGCCAATCACTGGTCTAGTTTGTTAAAAGCTGGTTAAATGCCATAAAAAAAGAAAAAAAAAATAGGATAGGATAGGGTAAGGGAATGGGAGAAATCTACAGTATTAAATGGGATGATTGATCAACATATGCTTCATCGAGCAATGATTTGAAAACAATGCAGAAGTTAGCTAAACTATGGAAAAAGAGTATTCAAGTCAGGACAACTAAAGAAAAGGCTACTATGTTTAATAGTAGTGAACAGTATGGTTGGAGTAGAAGGACTGAGGGGGACAGCAATAAGAGAAGAGAAGGTTGGGGAGATAACAGAGTAACTGTTTAGATTAATCCAGTAAGAGGAGCAACTTGCAGAGTTATGAGAAATTGTATGATCCAATTTGCATTTTAAAAGGACTTCTCCAACTGCTATTTTGAGAAGACAGCCTGGGCAAGGTAGAAGGAAGGAGGCCAGTTAGAAAATTACTGAAGTAATCCAGGCAATATATTTGAGATGGTACACAGCAGAGTAGTAGTAGCGCTGGTGGTGATAAGTGGTTAAATTCTGAATACATCTGGAAGATAGTTCTAATAAGACTTCCTAACAAACTGGAAAGGTCGTGAGAAAGAAGATAGGAATCAAAGAGGATTCCCAATTTTTCTGACCTATGCAACTAATTTCCATTAACTGATTTAACCTTTTTTTTTTTTGCAATGCTGGGGACTGAACCTTGGGCCTCATACATGCTAGGCAGTGCTCTACTACTGAGCAAAATCCCTAGACCCAATTGCGTTTAACAAGATGAGAAGGATGGAGGTCAAATAAATTTATGGAGGAAATTAGATTACTAATTTGGACATGATGAGTTTGGTACATCTGTCAGATAGTCAAATGGAGATGCTGAACAGGTAATTGAATATGCAGATCCAAAGTTCAGAAGAAAAGTCTAGGCTAGATATATGTATTTGGAAATCATCATATAAAAAGAATTATTCATCAAAAATTTTTAAAAGTGCTTTGACTCAATAATTCCTCTCCTAGATATCTGGCTCAAAGATATGTTTCTTGGAACATTCAAGTAGTTTTACAGAGATGGAAACATAAGCTCTGCTTAAAATAGAGGAAAATGGAGAAATCCAAATATTATCAACGAGAAATAGCCAAATAAATAATTAATAGACCCAAACTAGGAAATGCTCTGAAGCAAATTAAAAGGACTGAATTTTATCCATATGTACTATTAGGGAAAGATATCCAACATACACTATTAAATGAGAAGACAACATGAAAAACAACACAGCGTGGAACCCAATGGATCACTTAAAATAGCTTCATTATATGATATACAAACTACACCTCAGTAAATATGAGAAAGAGTACACAGCAGAATGATGATTAAAAACTCACTTTTTTCATCTCAAACAACAGTGGAACAGGTTGTCTTTCAAGCAGTTTTCCTTTCCATCATGGATATTTTCATAATGCCTCAGAGAGGTATGAGTATCTCTGCCTCTCAAATCTAATGTATTTAATATACTCTATTCACTAACTAAAATCTTGCTTTGCCTTTTGCATTCTCTCTTGATTTGATACCACCCCTTTTAGCAATTTGCGATATAAATATTTTGCATTATGAATTCAATCCATGGCCAGATGACTAATAAACTCTCAATATTAAAAACAACAACAATAATACAGTGTGAACCTCCACTTAAACTAAAAATGAAACAAACAGAAATGCCAAAATAGAAGATGAAAATGAGACATGAAACAAATGAGGGAATGATGGTGAAGGGACCTTATACATTTTTATGCCACATATGTATCCTAATATTAACTTTATAAGAATTCATTACTTGGGGCTGGGGTTGTGGCTAAATGGTAGAGCACTTGACTGGCAAGCGTGAGAAAATGGGTTCGATCCTCAACACCACATAAAAATGAATAAATAAAATAAAAGTATTATGTCCATCTACAAGTAAAAAATATTTAAAAAAAAAAGAATTCATTACTCACGATTTACTGATGTACATTAAGTAAATTTAAACTCAAAATCATAGCAATACAAATAAGTTATTTTCAAGAAAATTTTAAAAAATTATAAAGGCAAATTTTCTAATCATTTACCTTAAAATTACATTAATTTTTATTACTTTTCATAAACACATTGAGTTTTAATGTCAAATAATAATTATTCTCTTATTTTTAGATATTTAACCATACACCTTCATAGAGTCATCTGACTTACTTCTTTTTGGAATCTCTCTAATGTAAGTTTTCTCTGCATTTGGTCTTGTACCCAAGGATCAGCTGCATATTCAGATTCCAGAAGAGAAGTCCAACAATTTGCCGCATCTCTCTTTGTCTTTGTGAGAACAATACGAACCATTTTTCTATCCTCTAAAGAAAAAAATTACAAAAATACTAGAGTTTATTGTTTTATATATTCCTAAAAACATTAGGTAATTTTTGCATATAACTGTTCTCAAAGTATTTCTATATTCTCCAAAGCTCTGAAGACAAAGGACTTAAGGGGAAAGATATTAAGTTCCAATACAAAATTAATTTTAACAAAGATTCTATGAAGCCTAAAAGATTATCCTTACCCAAAGTCCACGTTCCCTCATCAGCTATTGTAGAATCAAAGAGTTTGCCCTGAAAAATAAACATGTTACTAAATATAGAGTTTCTCATTAGTTTTACAAAGCTTTCATTAAGACTTACCTAATTTCAAACTGAACACATCTTACACCATTTCACTACATTTATGTGCTGAACCTTTAGTTTCCTTCCAGGGTTAAATGAAATCTAGGTTATAGGAAATATTTACTATGACAAGCAACACAGAATTCCCTAAAGGAAGACCAGGGCCCTTGAATATTTATTTACTTATTGTGGTACTGGGGATTAGAACATAAGGGTACTCTACCCATGAGCTATATTACCAGCCATTTATACTTTGCGTTTTATTTTGAGACAGGGTCTTGCTAAATTGTTGAAGCTGGCTTCAAACTTGCCATCCTTCTGCCTCCTCCTCTTGAGTCACTGGGATTACAGGTATGCCCCATTGTGCCCAGACTTAACTTTTTAGAAGATGAAGAAGTACTACTGATCACTAATTGGCCAAATGTAAAATTTATATATTAAATGCATTAATTTTACTAATCAAATTTAAGAATACAAAAAGGGATTTCCTGCTTAAAAAATGGTTTAAAATAAACATAAATAAACATAAAAACTGGATCAATCTCTTCGCTGACATGTTGGCATTAAAAACAAAAACCTTAAAGCAAATACTGTACCTCATGAGAAATGTGCTCTAATTTTTCACAAAACCTTGTGTCAATAAAAAAAGAAGCAAAATATAAATTTAGATGAAAATGCCCATGCTCAAACACATACTTTTCCCAAATTTAAGTTATAGTAATTGAAATTAAAATGTTACTTTTAAAAAATCATTTAGCCAGGTATGATGACTAATGGCTGTAATCTCAGCAACTCAAGAAGACTCAGGCAGAAGGATCCAAGTACAAGGTCAGCCTCAGCAACTCGGGGAGACTCTGTCTCCAAATAAAAAATAAAAAGGTGCTGGGAATTTTAATTATTCTGGAAAGTAGGAACTGTACAGATATTCAGAAAGCTCATTAAGATCCAAGAGGACATAAATCAATGTCTTTTGCACAAATCATCCCAGGCACTCAAGGCGCTTCTATAGAAAATAATTGTAACAGATGAGCAGTGTGAGACAATAACATACCAAGCACTCTGCAAGCTCTTCAACCACATGGATACCATACTTTGATCAAAACAATCCTAAGAAAGGTTCTATAATTACCACACCTTGCATATAAACAAGGTCGTTAGAACTTTGAATAACTTTTTGCCTAAGGTTAAAAAACTAGAAAACTGGCACAGCAGGGTATCCTACCAAGTAGTCTCCCTTCACCTCCACACTACAAGATAACCCAACATCTTGGGATTCTTATCTAGGAACAAAATTTATTTTCAAATTGTTATGTGAACTTTGACTGCTTTGGGTTTAGCAGGTCCAGACCCAAAGGGCATCGATGAGAAGAAATGGGCGCTAATTATTTTTTCTACTCCTCTTCACAATTGGCTTGACCACTTTGCAAACACGTAGGGTATGTCTAATTCCAGATGACAAGTCACCTGACACTATCTCTGAATTCTCACCCTGTTATACCGTCCCTTCCATGTCGTGCTTTCCCATACCAGCCTACATATTTACTAGGAACGTAACCCGCTCTGCAGCAGGAGGATTTTATCGGTCTTTCATTTCCAAACCTAGATCAGTGCCCGGAAAAGAGAATATGTAGGATCAATGCTTGTCCCTTTAACGACCTAGTTAACCCGTTCTCCGCACGACCTCTGGAGTAATCGCAAGCAGAGGCCTGACTTTTTTGGGAAATTAAACAGTAAAATGCAATCTCGAAATTTCCACAATTCAAGATTTGCCCTAAGAATCGGTGCTCTGAGCAGAGCAAACACAGGCCAATTTCACCACTTTCCCAGGCTGCCGGCGAGAGGAGCCGACCTGCCCACCAACAACCACTCCTCGGGAAGGGCGGGCTTTAGGGCCCCGGGGCTCCGAAGGTCTATGGAAGGAGAACGCCGGCCCGACTAGCCGCTACCTTGAGGATCTCGCGGCCGCCTACGGCCAGGGCCACGTGCCGGCTCTGCAGACCGCACTGGATATCCTGAGCTCGAGTGCCTGGTGGCACCTGCACTTCAATGAACACCTCCTCCAGAGTCTGGTACCACTGACCCCAGGGCGTCCCGCACGGAACTACCCCACTGCGCTCCTCAAATGGGGCTGACATGCTCTCGCCGCCGGCCAGCACAGCCGCACCGAGCCACCCGAGCGCAGGCGCGAAATCCCCACGCTCCGGTTCCGCCTCGGGTCACTGCACATGCGCAGGGGCGCAAGGTGGTGACTCCCTGTGTGCCCTTTTTTCCCTCTCAAGGGCCATTTAAGGCACTGAGAGGAACCGGTTTAAAAGAACTGAAATCAAGGGAAGGGACAGAACGGTGGGAGAAGTTTGGAACCAGTGATGTAGGAATTCATTACCCCCTCACTTATGTGACGCCAAAATGCAACCTTAACTTTCCAGTTTGAAGTGCGCTTGCGCAAATGTTGCTAGTGTTTAGGCTGCAAGTGAGCAACCGCAAAAGTGATTGGGCGTGGAAGCAGCGAACAAAACCAACCTCCCATTGGCTGGCAGTCTCAATGTACAGGTTTTCTAATTGGATGCGGCAAGGAGCTAGTGCGCATGTTCCTTTGGTGTTTCCTTGCTTGATTGGTCTGCCCCGGGGTTTTGGTTTTCTCCAATTGGCTAATATGTTGGTGGGCGGGGACTCTGCGGGGATATTTGAATTCAAACGAGTAGCTGTCGGCAATCGCTCAGGAGGTTTAGCTTCGTTTGGGAAGCCGGCTGTCAGCATGTCTTTTCCTAAGGCGCCGCTGAAGCGATTCAATGATCCTTCAGGTGTGTACGTCGGGAGGTGCGGGCTGGCAGCGGAGGGACGGGAGATGCCCTTACGCTTCTCGCCCTTTTTGGTCCCCTTCACCCGGGAGAGCCTGAGGCGACTTTAGGAAGGGCCGGGGCTCCCTGTTTTTTTATTTTCCCATAAACGTTGTGACACACGCCAAGCATGTTAAGGATGCGAATGACACAGTGGTCAGTGAAGCAGTGTCCCTGCCCCGAGGACCTTTCCTTCTGACGGGGAGGAATATTCCTAAGCAGCGCAACGAAGAATGCCTGGGGCGAAGGGAACAGGGTGGGAGGCGTTCGTCTCCCCTGGTCCTGAGGTAGTGTCAAACACTCCTGCCATGTCCTCAGCTTCCCTGTCTGGGAAGTCAGGCGCTGGGTAAAAGCCTTCCTGCCTCCATCGTCGCCTCATGGGCCCGGACCCAGAAATCTCTTAGAATTAATAAATCAATTCAGCAAAGTAGCTGGATATAAAATCAACACCCATAAATCAAAGGCATTTCTCTACATAAGTGACAAATCCTCAGAGAAACTAGGAAAACCACCCCATTGACAATATATTTTATATTTCTACACACAGAATTAAAACAAATTCTAGAAAAAAAAAATGCCTAACTTTATTGTTTATGAGCTACACTGATATTTTCTATTATGTTTTACTTTTTTTCAGTGCTAGTTGAATCTACTAATGAGTGCTTATCTACTATTTGAAAAATATTTTAGGGACAGTAGTAGTTGCTTGGAATGGTCAATGTTCTTTGATATTCCCTTTTTTATTTACATGAGAATCTAAACAAGTAAATAGCTTTTTAGAGAATAGATCTAACCTGTTGATTTCAAATCAGCTAAAGCTTTATGCTAATATTTAAATCCTGAGAGTCCCATCTCAACTCTGCTACCTGTAAGCACCCTGAAATTCCTTAAAATTTGGGACTCCAGTTAAATGAGGTTACACAGTATGAACTTTTTGAAAGTAAAACTATAGTATAGTTCATACTTCATATAATATGACTATAGATTTCTAGAGCCTCAATTTCCTTATCTATAAATTAACATGTAAAGTTTTTGTAAGGATTGAATAAAATAATATCTCTAACCTGTTTAGCACAATGGCGGCATTTAGTAAATACTAAAAATTTCTACTTGTTATTAGTGCAATTGCTTTCTGTCTCTGCATTCCAATTGTAGTTGATATCATCTATACATGTTGATATTAGCCAGAGATATATTATTACTCTAAATTTTTATTACAGACTTTTTTTTTAAATTTTTTAAATTTGTTTTAATTAGTTATACATGACAGTAGAATGCATTTATGCACTTTTGATATACATAGATGGGATATAATTTCTCATTTTTCTGAGTGTATATGTTGTAGAATCATATTGGTCATGTAGTCACACATATACACACACACACACACACTAATGTCTGTTTCATTCTACTATCTTTCCTATCCCCAAATCCCCTCCCCTCCCCTCCTAACACTTCCGTCTACCTAATCTAAGGAAATGCTGTTCTTCTCTAGTGCCCCCCTGCCTTTTTGTGAATTAGCATTCGCATATTAGAGAACACATTTGGCTTTTGGTTTTGTGGGATTGGCTTATTTCGCTTAGCATGATATTCTCCAGCTCCAACTATTTACTGGCAAATGCCATAATTTTACTTTTCTTTTACTATTTTTCTTCTTTAAAGCTGAGTAGTATTCCATTAAGTATATATACTAAGGCTAGATCATTTTAGTTATGATTCCTAGAATCCCATGGTATTTATCTTAGTGACTCTATTTGAAGACAGTTGTACCAAATATTTTATTTTGTATATTTAGTTCTTAACAACAAAACTATGGGCTGGATTCAGGGGCACATGCCTGTTGTAATCCCAGTTGCTTATAAGGTTGAGGTAACAGCATCATTAATATACAGTATATATTAATGTATAAGTTGTCAGCCTGGGCAACTTAGTGAGACTGTCTTTAAAAAAAAAAAGTCAGGGGGGACTGTCTTTTTGTTGTTGTTGTTGTTGTTGATGGACACAATACCTTTATTTTATTTTATGTGGTGCAGAGGATGGAACCCAGGGCCTCGCACGCACTAGGCGAGCACTCTACCACTGAGCCACAATCCCAGCCCCAGGGGAGGCTTTCTTTAAAAGTGTGTGGGGGGTGGGTGCTGAGGATGTAGCTCAGTGGTACTGCAAAAAATAAGAACAACAAAATCATATGATTTTTCTTCCTTTGACCCAGTCTATAGAAAAGGCAAGATTAGGATATTGTTCTTCATCATTTCAAATAGGTGCTATTGTTACACTTACAGAAACAAAGAATCCAATTATAAATGGCATTTTTACACTTATATTCACATTATCATGACATGGTTTTAACTTCACATCATAAATAATATTATATAATACATTGATACTTTGTGTTTTCTAGGCTGTGCACCCTCTCCAGGTGCTTATGATGTTAACACTTCAGAAATATCTAAAGGACCGGTATCCTTTCAGAAATCACAGAGATTTAAAAAACAAAAAGGTAATGGGCCCCAAAATAAAACAATGGTTATATTATTTTATAAGTTTTAAATGACAATATTTAAATTTAAAGTTGCTGTTGCATCTCAAAAGATATAAAACTAGAATTATATTTACACTTTCTTGGTGGATTTATGAAAGAATCAGATACAAAATAATGCTTTCATCATCATACTGTATATTAAGCAATATACTCATAGATATGTAATTTTCTCTTTGGTTATTTCCTTAACCTTTCTCTTGAAGAATATTAGGAAAATGAGAAAGGTTTTTAGATGTATAGATATTGTACAATTAATTATTTAGAAATATATTATCAAGAAAAGAATAACTTTATATTGCTGTGTTTTTAGTTGCAGTAATATAGAAATTGTGTTTTGTGTGGTAGAAACATGTAAATACTAACTATGATTGGTACAATTCATTTTTCTGCAGAATCTCAACAAAATCTTAGTGTTGACAAAGATAGTACCGTGCCTTCTTCAGCTAAAAAAGCTAAGACTTTGAGATTAAAGGTGAGGAGCTTTTACTACCATCTGGCTTATCAATTATCATTGAAAACATATCCAAAGAGTATTATATGTAATTAGAATGAGTTATAAGTATAAATCAAAATTATAATTAAATCTGTAAATAGATGGAATAAGTTATCATTAGGACTCTTTCAAGTTTTATATTCTGCCTTGGACTTTACTAAATCTATATTTAAATGTGCCCTTAGTTCACAATTACAAAATGATTACTATTTTTCTGTCATTTCTATATCTAGATAAATTTTTCTTATAAATCTATACAAACTATATGATACTTTCATTAATTACTGCCACTTGAATTGTATAGGGTTTTTTTTTTTTGTAGTATTTTGAGAAAACTGTAGTTCTAACTACACAAGTATGTGTAGAACTCCCAAATAATAGACTTTCTAATACAAAATAATATCAGTTTAAAAATTAATAAAACATGAGATTGGTGTGCCTTCCCCTCAATGTAGAAACAAATAAACAGATTTTATTTAAGATGTTTTCTTCCATTTTTAGATGGCAAAAATCAATACTGTTTCTAGCTACTACATCAGAAAAGCTGTTGTATATAAAAAGATGTAGTGTGAAATTGTGTGTCTTAGGATAAAGGTAATGAGAAAATCAGATTTTTTTTTTTTTTTTTTTTTTACAGGGGATTGAACTCAGGGGCTTAAGGACTAAGTCACATCCCCATCCTTTTTCTGTATTTTATTTAGAGACAGGGTCTCACTGAGTTGCTTAGCACCTCACTGTTGCTGAGGCTGGCTTTGAACTCATGATCCTCCTGCTTCAGCCTCCCAAGCCACTGGGATTACAATTGTGCGTCACCACGCCTGATCTTAGAATCAGATTTTACTGTTTACATTTTTCTGTTATTTCTCTGGAATTGCATATTTGAAGTTTAAGTTGATTTTAAAAGATTTTTTTCTGTATGAGATTGGATAATCAAAATGTGTTGTTGCTATTTAACATTAGAAGATAGGTAGTCAGTAGTTTATCCATAAACTTCCATTTATCCTGCCCCCCACCACCCTCAACGGGGCTTCATAGAAACAGCTATTGGCCTATTGGGTTGAAAACTTAAACCTCAAGTATTTTGAGATATTTGGGGAGTGGGGGTACCAGGGAATGAAGTCAGGGGCACTTGACCACTAAGCCACATCTCCAGTCCTGTTTTGTATTTTATTTAGAGACAGGGTCTGAGTTGCTTAGTGTCTTGCTTTTGCTGAGTTTGGCTTTGAACTCCTGATCCTCCTGCCTCAGCTTCCTGAGCCACTGGGATTACAGGTGTGCCCCACCATTCGTGGCTTATTTTGAGATTTTAAGAACCTTTCCTTCACTTAACCAAATAAGTGATCTACAAAATATTTCGCAGACTCAGTGAACTCTTTAAAATAGAAATTAACTATTTGGAAAACCCTTAATTTTTTCAGATAGCTAAAAATCAAATTTTACGTGATATTTCTTGTGCTTAAGTTTGATTATAATTATTCTTTGGCTTTTAAACAGAAAGAATCTCAAAAGAATGATAAAGATTTGAAGAGACTAGAAAAAGAGGTGAGCAATACTGTTATTGAAAAGTAAATATGCTGTATTACGGAAAAAGTATCACATACAACTGAGAAACTAAGATTCTGTTGTAGTTTGGGCAATCTGTGTCCATTTATTAAAATTACAATATATGGACAGATGAGTGGGTCAAATATTTATAGTGTATACTCTTCCTGTATGACATTCTTTGTTAAGACAACATAGCTAGAGAATTAACATGTGGAGCATACAATTCTAGCAGGTTAGATGGACTGTGATGAAGTTATGCTAACTGTACTGTCCAATATTGTAGATGCTCACTACATCTAGCTATTTTTGGCTTTTTTTTTTTTTTTTTTTGGAAGGGGTAGGTGTATACTGGGGATGTAACCCAGGGACATTTTGCCACTGAGCTAAATCCCCAGCCCCAGGGTCTCATTAAGTTTCTGAGGCTGTCCTCAAACTTGCAATCCTCCTATCTCTGTCTCTCAAGTTGCTAGGATTATACACGTGCACCCCTGTGCCCAGCACATGTGGTTGTTTTTAAATTAATCCTGAACAGAACTTAGTTCCTCAGTTGCATTAATCACATTTTAACTGCTCAGTTGCCTCTACTGGGCAGTGCATTTATAACATGGCAGACATTTGTATGTGCAGTGTTGACCTAAAGAACCCACTTATCTTTCACAATACTAAATTGCTCACTGTACTCTTTGCTTCTCTGCCAGTCTTTTCCGTACTTCCATGACTAACAAGAATGTGGTGGACATGTTCTTTTGCTATATTAAGACTTTCCATTTAATCACAGTCAAATGATATCTTAGAACCAAGAATATACCAAAATAATTGTGAATCTTTTCTCTGGTTGCTTTGATCCCTTTGTATTTAATAATACTCATTGTCATTTTATTGAGGATACATGTCAATGAGGATACATGCAATTGATACTTAACATCTAAAAACTGAGTCACAGTGAACTAATTGGTGAGTGAGTGGTAGTGTCAGGATCAGAACTGATAGCTTGCATAAATTATTTCATTTGGTATAGAATTTTAGGTGCAAAGATTTTCCCCGATCATTTTAAAGTTGTAGGATTTCCTTGTCTCTGGCTTCTACATTTCTGTTGACAAATATTAGGGCTTTTGGGGTCTTTTCTTATTTTGTTTTGTTTAATCTACTAGTTAGTAACGGCAAGAGTTATGGCTGATGCCTACTACATTGTACTTGACAGCCTAGTTCTGCCTTCTCAAAATAAGAAAGAGTCCCCATCTCAAACTATAATTAATATTTGTGTAATTAGAACTAGAAAAGAAGAGCTGTAATAGGTAGAAATACTTTTTTAAAGTGAATAGACAGCTTAATTGAATTTGGAAATTTATGACAAAGTTCTTCAGTTCTTAAGATGCATGCAGATTTTTAAGATTTACAATAAGGTAAATATTATTATTCAAATAACTGATAAAATAAGAATATCTATGAGAGCATGGTGTCAAAACTCATGGTTTTTCTAGAAGCTTTAATGCTTTTGTTACCAGTAGCATTTATTTACATTGGTATTTTATTGGCGAATTATTCATTTATGATCTTGTTTTCTCCAGATTCGTGTCCTCGTCCAGGAGCGTGGTGTTCAAGACAAGAGGATCCAGGATATGGAAAATGAGTTGGAGAAGATGGAAGCAAAGTTAAATGTTGTAGTCAGGGAAAAAACATCTCTCTCTGCAAACAATGCTTCACTGGAAAAACAGCTTATTGACTTAACTAGAACTAATGAACTACTAAAATCTAAGGTATTTGAACCTCATGATAACACTTAAAATCAAATAAATAATAAGCATGTTGAGAAAACTCATTTCTCTTGTTTGGGAATTGAAGGCTCTGTTTGAGCCCTTTTCTTTCTCTGAATGTACCTTAAATATTAATACTTCAAGTAACTAGTGTTTCTCTTTTTTATTAGGTTGTCTGGCACATGAGTGGTTATAAACAAACAAGTTACTTTTTGTTTTAATGTCTTCACATTTTCTCACCTCTCATAATCAGCCCCAATTAACATCAATAAAAATCACAGACTTTACATTTTGACCTCATTTTAAAGATCTTTCTCTGAAATACATAATAGCATAGCAGCATGCTTCTATCTTTAGTCCTTATGGGAATAAAGTGGGAAATGAATTAATAGAATAAGTAATGTTCAATAAATAATCTGCATTTATCAATATTAATGTACTCATGATCTTAAAGAGCTGAACATGGTCCTCATATGCTTGTTATAGAAGTTGAGGGAGGATGTAAATCTGTGTTCAGTTTAATAAGAGTCACTAATTAAGAGCCTGTAATGTTCAGGGCTCTTTTCACTTAGAGAGTCAAAGTGCGTTAGACTCAAGCATGGGGAAGGGAGCAGTAACCTGGGCTATTCCCGGGAGCCTTCTGATTTAGTACGCTGGGGACGGAACCGGTATTCTGCATATTTCAGATTTACCAGGTGATTAGTTTTAGTAAGCCAACACATATCAGTAAATTCTCTTGAAGAGGCAATTTTAGAGGTTTGCTGTGGATTTTACAGCATATAAATGTAAGTAACCACCCAGAGGGTTTCAGAAATAAAACAGAAAGTCACATTAAGGAAAGAAAAGGACAAAAACAATATTAGTATGGAATCAGTAATTATGTTGATAAAAAGCTATTTTCTCTACCAAAGTATAGTATAGGCAAATAATAGTTACAATGATAGGTAGAATAATCAGTATTTAAATGATTTTATATTTGGCATAGCAGAAAATATTTCTGAATTTTTTGCATGTTTATTGTGCTTAGTTTTCGGAAGATGGTAACCAGAAAAATATAAGAATGCTAAGCCTGGAGCTGATGAAACTTAGAAACAAAAGAGAAACAAAAATGAGGGTGAGTAGTACCTTTGGTAAATTACTGTGTCTAGATCTAAATATTTCAAATTTCTTTCTTTTTTTTAGTGATTTTTTAAAAAAATAAATGACAGTGGAATGCATTACAATTCTTATTACACATATAAGCACTCAAATTTCTTAAAACAAATTTCTCTGGTGTAGAGTATGATGGCTAAACAAGAAGGCATGGAAATGAAGCTGCTGGTTACTCAGAAGAATCTGGAAGAGTCTCAGGGGAAAATAGCACAACTTGAGGGGAAACTGTAAGTGAATAAAAGAAATTATTAAGTGTAACCAGTTATTTTGTTTTATTTATCTGATAAGTAAAAACATAAAATGGCACACATTCATTGACTGCCTCGTGGTGTTCATATATGTATATATATATATATATATATATATATATATATATATATATATATGTTTGTGTATATGTATACACACACACACACATTGTGTAATGTTTAAATCAGGTTAAACATATCTATCTTCTCAGTTATTGCAAAAACATACAGAATTTCCCCCCACACCCCACACTGAGAATAGAAACCCAGGGCACTTTGTCCTGAGCTACAATCTCAGTGCTTTTTTTTTTATGTTCATTTTTTAGTTTTAGATGGACAGAATATCTTTATTTTTATGTGGTGCTGAGGATCGAGCCCAGTGCTTTATGCATGCTAGGCAAGTAGTCTACTAATGAGCTACAACCCCAGCCCCAGCCCTTTTTGTTTTTTGTTTTCTGATGGTGTCTTATTAAGTTGTTCAGGGCCTGACTAAATTGCTAAGATTAGCTTAGGACTTGTGAACCTCCTGTTTCAATCTCCTGATTTTCTGGGATTACAGGTATGCACCACCATGCCTGGCTCTTTCTTCTATTTGAGGTTTACCATATATAATTGTTATCTGTAGTCACCTTGCTGTAAAATAACACATCAGAACTCCTAATTCCTACCTAATGGTAACTTGCTGCCCGTTGACTAATCTTTCCCCTCTCTGCCTACCCTTAATATTCCTTGCTCTGATAACCATTCTGTTTTCAACTTTATAAGATAACCTTTTTTCGATTCTACATATGAATGATATTGTGGTATTTTCTTTCTGTGCCAGGCTTGCTTTACTTAACATAATGATATCTAGTTCCATCTATGTTGTCATAATGACAGGATGTCATTCTTCATTATGATTAAACAGTATTCCATGATTTATATGGACCATTTTCTTTATCCATTATTAGTAAATATACAGTTAGGTGTTTTCATTTTCATTCCATTTCTTGGCTATGGTGCATAGTGCTGCAGTAAACATGGTGTATTTGTCTGTATGTTTGTTTGTTTGTTTAAGGAGAAACCTACAGTTTTCCATAATGGCTGTACTAATTTATATTCTCACCACCAGTATGCAATGGTTCACTTTTCTGTACATCACCATAAGCACTTGTTTAATTTTTAATTTTTTTGATGATGGCATTCTTACATGACTAAGTTTTCATTTACTTGACTAGTGATATTGAGCACCTTTTCATATATCTGGTAACCATTCTTATATCTTCTTTTGAGAAATGTCCATTTGGATCTATTGCCCATTTTTACATCAGATTATTTGGGTTTTTGCTATTGAGATTTTGAAGTTCCTTATATATTCTTGATATCAGAATCTTGTTTGAAGGGCTGGAAATGTAGCACAGTAGTAAGGTACTTGCCTAGCATGCCCAAGGCCAGGAGTTAAATCCCCAGCACCACCAAAAAACAAAACAAACCTTGTTAAATGTATAGTTTGCAAACATTTTCTCTCATTCTGTAGGTTGTCTCTGCATTCTGTTGAGTGTTTCTTTTGCTGTGCAGAAGATTTTTAATTTGATGCAAGCCCATTTGTCTTGTTTACTTTTTCTTCTTATGCTTTTGGGGTCTGGTTCAAAAAAATCTTCTGATTCCAATGTCTTAAAACATTTTGTCTGCTTTCTTCTACTAGTTCATTGTTTGAGTCATAAGTTTAATCTTCAATCCATTTTGAGTTGATTTTTATAGCTGGTGAGAGATAAGGTCTAGTTTCACTTTTCTGAAGGTAGATACCCATTTTTCCCCATACCATTTATAGAAAAGAGAGTCCTTTCTGCAGTGCTTATTCTTAGCACATTTGTTGACAACCAGTTTGCAGTGGATGTATGGGTTTATTTATGTCTCTTCTAATCCATTGTTCTGTGTGTAATTTTATTTCAATACCTTGCTGTTTTGATTACTGTAACTTTGTAGTATATTTTAAAGTCAGGTAGTGTAATGCCTTTTTGTGTTCTGCTCTTTTTGTGCAAGATTGCTTTGACAATTTGGGGGGGGGTGTGGTTTCTTGGAATTTTTAGGATAATTTTTTGTAGTTTAGTAAAGAATGCTATGGTATTTTGACAGGGATGATATTAAATCTGTAGATCACTTTGGGTACTATGGACATTTTAACAATATTAAGTCTGCCAATCCTAGAGCATGAGATGTCTTTCCAATTTTTTGTATCTTCTTCAATTTCTTTCATCAGTGCCTTATAATTTTCACTGTAGAAATATTTTATATCTTAGATTAAATTTATTCCTTAAATTTTTTTGTAGCTATCATAAATGAAATTGCTTTCATGATTTCTCTCTTTCATGTAGTAAACGATTAGGGAGTAATATTGATACCTATTTTTGGATGTTGAGTTTGTATCATGCAACTTCTCTAATTTAAATTTTTGGTGGAGCCTTTGTAGTTTTCTATATGTGAGATCATGTCATCTACAGACAATGAAAGTTTGACTTTATGTTATCCAGTCTGGATGTGTTTTATTTCTTTTTCCTGCTCTAGTTAGTACTTCTAGTACTACTTTGATTGAAAGTGGGCATCCCTATCTTTTTCTGGATCTTAGAAAGCTTTCAACTTTTCCCAATATGCTCACTGTTGGCTTATTATAAATGGACTTTATTATATTGAGGTACATGTTTTATACCTCATTTGTTCAGCATTTTTTAATCATGAAATGTTGAAGGTTTTTTTGGTTTTTAAATTTTTTTGGTTGATGATAGGGATCAAGCCCACGTGCATGCTAGGTTGGCATTCTTCCACTGACTACATCCTACATCCCAAGTTGTTTTTTGTTTGATTGACTGATTGTTTTTCGTGGTACTGAGGATTGAACCAAGGGCCTCACAGGTGCAAGGCAAGCACTGCACTGCTGAGACATAACCCCAATCCCAGCTCCTCTTTATTTTGAGACAGGATCTCACTAAGTTGTGAAGGCTGGCCTCACACTTGGGATTCTTTCATCTCAGCTTCCCAAATAGCTGAGATTAAAGTTATAATGTCACCATGCCTAATGGCTTGAATTTTATTAGATAACTTTTCTCTTTCTCTTGAAATGATGATGTGGTTTTTATCCTATGTTTTCTTGATATGGTTTGTCATAGTTATTGATTTGCTTCTGCTACACCATCCTTGTATACCTAGGAAGAATCCTACTTTATCATGGTGAATAATCTGAATAATCTTTCTAACATGCTACGGATTTTGTTGACAGTTTTGTATGTGTGTAGTGTATGTACCAGGGATGGAACCCACGGGCACTTTACCACTGAGCTACATCTCAACCTTTCTTATTTTTTGATTTTGAGACAAGACTGCTGAGGATCTGGCTAAGTTGCTGAGCCTAGCCTCAAACTTGGAATCAGCTTGCCTCAGCTTCCCAAGTTGCTAGAATTACAGCATGCACCATCAGGCTCAGCTGTGCTATAAATTCTGTTTGCTAATATTTTGCTGAAGATTTTTATGTCTATGTTCATGAGGATTTGGGCTTGTAGGGTTTTTGTTGTTGTTGTTATTGTTGTTGCGGGGGTAGGGATACCAGGGATTAAACTGTGGGGCTTTCAACCACTGAGCCACATCCCCAGCCCTGTTTTGTATTTTATTTAGAGACGGTTTCACTGAGTTGCTTAGCACCTCACTTTGGCTGAGGCTGGCTTTGAACTCGCAATCCTCCTTCCCCAGCCTCCTGAGCCACTGAGATTACAGGCATGTGCCACTGTACCTGGCTACAGTTTTTTTTTATTGTTATGTTCTTGTCTGGTTTGCATATCAGGGTAATCCTGTCTCCATTTAATATGTTTGAAAGAATATCTTCCTCTTCAGTGTGTGAGAATAATTTAAGAAGAACTGATACCAGTTCTTCCTTAAATGTTTGGTCGAACACAGCATTGAATTGTATGATTGGGGCTTTTCTTGGATGGGACACTTTTCTTTATTGTTTCAGTCTTGTTATTGATCTGTTCAGGTTTTCTATTTCTTCATTATTCAATCTTGTTAAGCTGAATGTGTCCAAGAAGTCATCCATTTCTTCCAGATTGTCAAATTTGGCTTATAGTTGTTCGTAATAATCTCCATTGAGTTTTTTGTGTATCTACAGTGTCAATTGTAGTATACCCCTTTCATTTTATTTATGAAATAAATGTATTTGATTTTATTTGAGTCTTCTGGTTTCTTTTTTTTTAATATTTATTCTTAAATTTTAGGTGGACACAATATCTTTATTTTACATTTATTTGATACTGAGGATCGAACCCAGTGCCTCGTGCATGCTAGGCGAGCACTCTACCACTGAGCCACAACCCCAGCCCCTGGTTTCTTTTTTTAAACTAGGCTGAGAGTTTGTCAATTTTTAAAATCTTTTCAAAGAACCAACATTCCTTTTGTTTATCTTCTGTATTTTATTTAGTTTCTGTTTCATTGATTTTCACTCTGATCTTTATTATTTCTTTCCTTCTACTAATTTTGTGTTCATTCTAGTTTTTTTGCTTTGGGGAGATGCAGCCATAGGTTGTTAGCAGTTCTTCGCTGGCTTTTCTAAGCAAATTATTCCTTAGTCAGATTTTAATCTTTCCTCAATACTTATCACTTCCTTAATTTTCCTGTTTCTCTCTCTCTTTTTTTTTTTCCAATCCTCCATGGTTTACATAGGAAGCCCACACTGGGGTCCAGGAGTATGCTTTTATTTATTTATTTTTGTGGTGCTGGGAATTAAACCCAGGGCCTTGTGTATGCTAGGTAAGCACTCTATCACTGAGCTACACTCCAGTCCTCCCTATTTCTCTTAAGTGACAGTGAACCCTAATCATTCTCAAACATTTAATGCTAGAAAGTTATATGAATGTAGTACTTTTGTCCCATCTTCAGTAGCAATGATAAGGAAATGCTTATGATCTTCCCATTAGCGTAATCTTACGGAGATGGTAGTCAAAACCAAACTGAGAAACACTGGTATAAGAAGCTGTGATTATGGGCTGGGGATGTGGCTCAAGCGGTAGCGCGCTCGCCTGGCATGCGTGCGGCCCGGGTTCGATCCTCAGCACCACATACAAACAAAGATGTTGTGTCCGCCAATAACTAAAATAAATAAATAAATAAATAAATAAAAAAGAAGCTGTGATTAATGCACAGTAATATTCCTTTTTTATAATTACTTCTGTAATTTACATATAATAAATGCACTGATCTTAAATATTCAGGTTGATAACTTTTGACAGTTATATACATTTTTGTGACCATTAACCAAATAACATAGAGAATATTTCCATTCCCTCAGAAAGTTACTTTCATACCCCTCGTTGCCTGACTGCTACCTGTGTAATGCTGGCCATCCCTGCAGCTACTTCCTATTTTTCATCATAAATTTGAGAAGTTTGTTATAGTATGGGTTGGGGGCTTCTTTTGTATGACATAATTTTTCACAATTCATCAATGTATACTCTTCTTCCTTTTTATTTCCGAGTAGCATTCTATTCTATGAATATATCTCTATTTGTTTACTGTTCTTTTCACCATTTTAGGCCTTTTTAAAAGTTTCTTACTCTGAAAAAGTATAAACATACATTTTTGTGGATATTTATTTGTACTTTTCATGTGTAAATATCTAGAAGTGGAATTCTTGGGTCATAGGGTAATATATAACATTTAAAAAAAAAAAAAACCTCAAAGTTGTTGTATCATTTATACCCCCACTAGCAAGGTGGTTCTATATTTCTAACACCATTTGATGTATCCTGTTTACTTTGGCCTTTTTAATGGATTTGAAGTGGTAATTTGTAACTTTGTTACTATGAACCTTGAATATCTTTCTGTGTACTTATAGATCATTTCTACATCTTCTGTTGTGAAATGTCTAGTTAAGTCTTTTGTTCATTTCTTAAATTAGGTTGTTAAAAAGAGTTGAACATATAAATAATTGAATGTCAGATAGCCTGAAACAAAAACTTTATGACACTCAAAATGCTATTTGGGTGGGTAAGGAAACCAAGAAAGCTACAAAATAAGATTATGTCTTTGATTTGGGATGTTGTGAGATGATTCTCATTATCATAGCTCTTTTGTCATAGTACCTTTGAAAATCTTTTTTACTTAAGTAAAATCATTAGTCTCCCGCTTGCATATAAATTGTCAACCTGAGAAGTAAGTCACTCTTAATGATTAAGAATTTGAACTCTGCAGTCACTTGCCTAATACAACAGTATCTTGTAGGCATTATGTGCAATTATTTTTTTTATTGGTTGCTCAAAACATTACAATGATCTTGACATATCATATTTCATACATTTGATTCAAGTGGGGTATGAATTCTTATTTTTACCACGTGTCCAGATTGCAGGATCACATTGGTTATACATCCATGTTTATACATACTGCCATACTAGTGTCTCTTGTATTCTGCTGCCTTTCCTATCCCCTTCCTATATGTGCAATTATTAAATAAACTAACATCCAATTTTTTTTTAGTGTTTCAATAGAGAAAGAAAAGATTGATGAAAAATCTGAAACAGAGAAACTCTTAGAATACATCGAAGAAATTAGGTAATATGAAAAAGTAGCTTAATATTGAACCTTATTTTGTTAAACACTGATGAATACATCATTTTCATCTTTTTGCCGTTTCCATGTGCCTAAAAAGATATGTTCTTTTTCAATATTTTTAATATAGTTGTGCATCAGATCAAGTGGAAAAATATAAGCTAGATATTGCCCAGTTAGAAGAACATGTGAAAGAGAAGAATCATGAAATTTTAATCCTTAAGCAGTCTATTGAGGAAAATGTTATCTTGTCTAAACAAGTAGAAGACCTGAATGCTAAATGCGAGCTGCTTGAAAGAGAAAAAGGTATTATTGTGTTTATAGTTAGTTCATTATTGTATTTAAGAAAAGCACTGCTATGTCAAAACAACCTTTTTAAAATTATGTAATCAACAACAGAAAACGTTATTCTGTATTTGAAATTTTTTTTATAATGTTTATTCTCTATTTCAGTATGTTGCTTTTCTTGATAGAAAAAGAAACAATTGTGCAATTCATGACTTCCCTTGACTGGCTATTTAAAATTGGTAGATAACATAGAACTAGTTTTGAGGGTTTTGTTATATAGCATACAATGTATGTTATATGTTGTAATAATTGTACAAGCTTCATAATTTTTTGCTTTTTTCCTTTGAAAATATTTGGTCTGTGAATTGTGCTAAACACCAGCATAATGAAGTATTTTGGGTATCTAGGTTTTTTTTAATGATGTTTGTATGTTGTTACAGTATTTTAAATGTTTTCCTTTTATAGAAGACCTTCTCAGCAGGAAAACGGAAAGGGATGAAAGTCTAAATGCAGAGATGCAAAACTTAAAAGAGAAGCTTATTCTGGAAAAACAAGAACATGAAAGACTACAACAAAAAGAGTTGCAAATTGAGTCACTTCTCCAACAAGAGAAAGTAATTAACTGCAATGTTTTTTTTTAATTAAAGAATGCTTATTATGTGTCATAAATTTCACTGTCAGAAAACTTTGTTATATATCCTTTGATTCAACAATTCTAATTTTAAAATCTAATCCTGAGGAAATGACCATGGATATTCTGAGGACTTAGCCATACACCTTCACAATGTGTTCACTATGGGGTTATTAATAATGTGAAAAAAATTAAAATACAGATGTAGCAAAGTAGGGATCATTTAACATTGCTTTCCTATTACATTTTTGTATTTGAAGCCCATGTAGATTATTTAGAGTTGTCTTTAGAAGAATATCTTACTACAGGAAAAATATAATTATAAAATTTAGATTACATGAATAACATTACGTGTGTGTGTGTATGTGTGTGTATGTGAGGGAGAGACAGAGAGAGAAAACAGTCCACTAAAATATAGTGCAGAAATAGATAATTCTCCCTATCTTATAAACATGAAAGAAGCTCCATCTCAATAGTAATCAAGGAAATGGAAATAAAATTTTTCCATTTACAAGATTGGTGAAAATTAAAACATTTAATAATGTAAAATATTGGTAATGGTTGAGACAATTGGTACTTACATGCATTGATGTGAAGTAGTATGTATTTGGTTAACCTACAACAAATGAAGTAGAACACATTGAGTTAGAAAGATCTCAACTATCTATGATTTTTTATAATGACCTTTACATATGTCCAAAAAATATGTATGTGTATATATAAATATATTGACAAAGACCAGAAGGCATACATGTTCCAAACTAGTAGATGTTTCTGGGAAGAGACAACTAAAGTTGGGGTGGGAAGTAGTCAAAGATAATAGTCACTTTCTTTGTAATGTTAGAATGTTTTTCACAATGATGATGTGTTTATATAATTGATGTACTATATAGCTTAAAGTATTTTATATAATGTTGAAATCATAAAATACTTTTATATAGTATTATATATATACATAAAAACCAGTTGTAAAACAGATATAAATATAATTTTAGTTTTATAAGTTTATGTGTATGTTGCATAGGAAAAAAAAAGCCTGAAATGAAAGTTGCCACAGTGTTAAGATGTGGAAAATAGCTCATGAAAAAAGTTTGTGTTTGTGTATGTATGTTTATGTTTATTTTATTTATATATAATATATATAGTCCTGGGGATTGAACCCAGAGGCGCTTTACCTTTGAGACAGGATGTCACTGAGTTGTTTAGGGTCTCACCCCCCCGAGTTACTGGGATTACAGGCATATGCCACTATGCCCAGCCATATATCTATATTTTTTAATGTTATTTTGAAACTCTTAAATTT